CGCAACTGGCTCTAGGCAGCGCCCCTTTCCTCCAGCCTCCTGCGCACACATCGCCTGCGCTGTTAGACTACGCCGGTCGCCGCTCAGCCTGATCTCGGACAATCCTGTCTGTGCATACCATTTCTGTCCTGCGCCGTCTCTCATTCCACTGCCAGCCGGCCCCATGCAAGGCATCTTGTACGCCTCAATCGAGTCCGAAGACCCGCAATGTACGCGCCGCACCCCGCCGCCCCGCACGTCTCCAGCACACAGACCCACCGACGCCTGATGCGAGCTCAGCGACATAGCGCTTGCGTGCTTTCGACACCACCTGCCTCTTCTTCCTTCTCAACCTCTGCTCCTGGCTGCTCTCATCGCACTGTGAGCGTCCAGCACAGCGTGCGCGCGCGTCCCTAAGGTGAGTCGTCCCCTCCTCCTCGCTGTTTCCCTCGCCCGCTACGACGGCGCACAGTCCGCGCCCGCTCGCCTGCGCTGCCAGCTGCCCACCCTGCCCGCAAGCATGTCCCTCACGTGAGTCGTCCTCACCGTCACCCTCGCCGCCCACGACGACGCGCAGCCTCCCGCGTCTTATAGACCGCATGTGCGAGCTCGTCCGCACGCCAGAAGCCATTTGCCCACCCCGTCGGTATGTACTCACTTCTTGCCGTCCGCGCGCTCTCATGCAGACGGCTCTCGCGCCGTTGCGCGAAACGGTCGGTCGTGCAGCAGAACGCGCTCGACGGGGCGCGACGCCGGAGCCGTGTTGCTGTCTGCAGGGCACCGGTGAGTGCGCGCGCAGCCAGACTGCGGGACGATGGCTCACCGATCCGTGCGCAGGGCCCGCGGAAGACGTCGCGGTCAGCAACGTGCCATGCACTATGCGCCGTGCGACGACTCAGGATTCGCCGCGCCCGCGCCCGCGCTCGCTCTCACGCTCCACGTCCCCCGGGGCAGCCGCTGTCGACGGCAAGGCTCGCGAGGACAGCGTCGACGCGGCCGCGCGCACGGCGGAGGACCTATGGACGCCACGCGCGAGCAAGGTGAGTGACGACGCGGGAGCAAGAGACGCAGCACTGACCGTGAGCAATGGCGCATGCGCATGCGAAGGACGACGGGCCCTAGGCAACATCCTACCGGTGTCAAGGAAACGACGACCGGCAGCCAGCCAGAGCGCGCGCACTGCGAGCGCGCCGCCGGACGAGATTCAGACGCAGGAGACGGAGGCCGCAGGGAATGGCGAAGACCTCGACCAGCGTCCGTTCCCCCCACGTCCTGTGTGCCCCGTCGGCTGCAAGTGACGCGCACGCGCCGGACGCACAGCCTGATCTCAGAGGATCCTGTCCGTGCGTGCCGTCTCTGTCCCGCGCCGTCGCACTCCGCTCCCGCCCTCTTACAGGATGCACACACTGCGCGCAGGTACGCCAAGCATTCCTTATTCCCCGGTCAGTCTCTACTCACACGCGTACACCTCCCGCTCCCTGTCTACTGACAATCGCGCCTCTTTCCAGGTCCCTAGCAGCTTACTATGCCCGCCGTCCAACAACCAACCCCACTGCGCTTCTATCCAACCGCCGCCGGTGCCAGTGCTTCAGAGCAGCGACCAGGGCGCGAATCGTCCGCGCCGTCGCACGCCGTCGATTGATCCCACACCGCCCGCGCCGTCGAACCACGCCGCACGCACACACAACGCACGCGCCGTCGAACCACGCCGCACGCACAAACGGCAGCAGACCGAGTTGGTGCGTGCCGCTTCTGTCCCGCTCCGTCTCACTCACTCCGCTGCCAGCCGTCCCCTTAACCGACATATTGTGCGCTGCAAATGGTCCGCGATGCACGCGCTGTTGCTGTACTTACCTTCCGTGCATACCATCGCCGGTCACTATCTACTCACACACGTGTCCCGCTATCTAACGTCAGCCATCCCGCATCACCCGTGTTCCGCACGCCCCGCCCCGCTCGCAGCCCGACGTCCCGGCATCTAGACGACGACCCCCACCCGCGACGGCGTCCTCCCGCTACCAGTGCTTCAGACCGGGGACGCGCACGCGGATCGTCCACGTCGTCGCAGCGGGATGATGTGAACGCCTACAGATCGCACATTGTAGTAAGTGTTTCGTTTGCATGTAGACATCATCGCCCGCCACTTACCATCCGGCGCGGACGTAGGACGCGACGTTCTGGCCGACCGGCCCTCATCATCTACGCAGCCGCGGGCCAAACATCTACCACCGACCGTCCGCCTCGTTCAATCCGCTCAGCCGCGACGACAGTCCTCCGCGCTCCCGGACCTCATTGACACCATTAGCTCCGTTAGCTTGGCATCACCACACGCACGCACGCATCACTCACCCCGCGTACTCGGTACGTGGTATGCTCCAGCCATCGTCTTGACCATCTGGCGACGTCGACTGCTGCAGTGGCGTACACAGTGAGTGGCGTGATGCAGCACTCCTTAAAACGACGGCGGCTTACCTGACCAGTGTCCGGGCGCGCAGCACGTACGTGGCCACGCCGGGCGAGCGAGATAGCGGGCGGGGCACAGTACGAGCGACAACAGAGCGGAAGACGAGTCGCAAATCACACAGGATTCTCTGACGACGTCCACCTTTAAATCCCTCACACGCTTTCCCGGCCTGTTGCCATTCCCACGACTGCCGCCCGGACATCTCGCATCGGCTGCCGCGTCGCTCAATGGTTACTACTCGCCCAAAATCATGACGGCAGCGCCCCCGCGTTCCCGCCCGCGTACCTAGGCCCGAACGTGAGCGGTCATTCTGCTTGACGCGGACGGACACACTCCCCGACGTATGCACCCTTCCGATCC